GAACCCCCCTACCCATTTTAAGGGTTAAATTGGCAGAAAAAGATATACCAATTTTTAGCCATGTTTATAGGGATTTTCCCGAAATATAGGCCCATATTTCACAATTTTGGGGTGTTCGCCATATTAGGTTAATTTTTTGGAGAAGTCCGAAAAGGATGGAAGCTAACAAACATAAAGATCGCCTGCGTTATATTTTGATTCTTACTTTCACAATACAATTCATGTATTAAATATATATACGCTTTCATCACCCAATATTCATACCCGTACACATATACACACACGCACATGATTTATTCATGTTAATGATTATATAATATCACCTCTTAGTCTTTATTGATCAATACTTTTTTTTACAGAATAGAAACTTTATCAAGAACAAAATATGTAATTTATTATCACAAAGAGATAAGAAAACGTTTCCAACTTTATGGACAATACATTATGCTATATAAGAAGCGACTATCAGACTGATTGATGATTTTATTTATTGACCTTTATGGGTGATGAAAGCGTGTGACGAATTTGAAATCTTTCTTTGATGTTTGCAGCCATATTAAAAGAGAACGGAAACTGTCAATAAAGTGACCGATGTTCATTAATAATTATTGTCAAAAAAATGACGGATGATATTATCCGACATTTCTTCCTGCATGTTGCTATTCGAAATTCCGAACTGAATGGTTTTGCACTTCGGAATCATTTCCACTTCATTTAATTAAATACCGCATAGGGAGAACCCGGGAAGGGATACAACATCAATCATATCCATTCACCCAGTTATATGGATTTGAAATGAACTCTCAGCCGGGGTGGACAAGGGGTAGTAGAGATTTTTCCCCAGAAAACGTCTTTCCCCAAATAAATTATAAAAAGGGAGTGGGAAAGATGGTTCTCTTCTTCCTAACCCTGGATCTAAACATGCTCTTAAAAAACAGCAACACCTAAATCCTTTCCTGTATGATGATCCTTTCCTTTTCTTGTATTTTGTGAAAATAATATCACTTGTATGTCTGACAACATGTCAGATTTGGTCTGACGCCCTCAAGTAGATTTTAGTTTGACATCGGACTAGCTACACGTAAAGCAATCAAGAATTAAAAAGATTGAAATCTCGTCATGTTAGTCAGAATGAAGTTACATCTTTCTTATTTTTTCATAGGTATGTTCACACTGGCGAACGGATGGGAGGGGGTGGGGGATTTAAACGTGGTTTATTTCTTATTCAAAAGAGTGGTTTACAAAATGTTCCTGAAATGACACGATTTTCTTGGACCTTTTAGTAAATCATACTTTTTTATGCCTTTGTTGGAAAATGACAAATTCCCACATTTACAGTCAGGCAAAAATATGCTTGAATAGAAGCCTACTTGTCAGGGCACGCGGAACGGCGGGGCTCGGGGGGGGGGGGGGTCCGATCCTCCTCATTTTTGGGGGGAACGTTTGTTAAAGAGACTTAAAAAGAAAGAAAAAAGAAAGGATAATGACCTACCAATGACCTTACCGGGGCTCTGCCGCCTGGATCCCATCAGGGGCACTAAGGCGGGCCCCTGGGTGCTCATCTGACCTTAATTTAATGCCTAAAACCCCTGAGCTTCTGAGGGCTTCGACCCTGGATCTTTCGCAAATTAGTGACCTGCCAGGTTCACAACTAAGGTATCAAAATATGCTCATCTGACCGTAATTAAATGCCTAAAACCCTTGAGCTTCCGGGGCTCCACCGCTGGACACCACGCAAATTTTCGCTCGCTATGCTCTTCCTGATCGTAATTACTTTTGCCTCCCCCCACGTTGAAAAGCGTTCCGCGGGGCCTGCAACTAACATGTAAAAGTGGTGATGATGCGGATTTTTGTGCCGCCCCAAACGTTAATAATTCAAATAAAAGTCAATGGTGTAAACAAGAAGAGAAATAGAAAGAAAAAAATCACATGTGCTCTTTAGTATTATACTCTTGAATAATTTGCAATTGCATATAGTGTATTTCTTTCATAAAATACTTTTGTACAAATATTTTACAATTCAGCCCCCGGGCTGTGTTATGCATATTTTGAATAAATAAACCATTACTATATATATATATAAAAACAAACTGGGAAATTGTGCCTGTGGAGGTAGGTCTGTTCGTCAATGACGTATACACCCCAGCACGGGAGAGGATTGGGGGGGGGGGGGGTCTGTAGTAGTATGACCCCCCAAAAACAATTCCTGAAATGATTCAACTAATTTGATTCTATCTGAAGCATACCGGACTTTTTATTGGTTATAAAACTGTTTTTTCTTCATTAACATAGGGCAGAGTACGCCGCCCTCATGCTGGATACGCCCTTGATTATTGAAATAGTCTTTTCGGATAAGTTGGTTAATTTCGATGCACTCAAATATGTTTGAACAAATTTTGAACATGAACGGAGAAAATTTTCTACAATTTCTATAATTTTATCTTGCTTGCACATTAAATTGTTGGCGCCAAGAAGCCGATTATGATCATTTATATTTTCAGAATTGGTAAATACACTGTTGCCGAAAAATTGTACAAATTTGTTTACCTATTTTTATGACGTGATAATGAGAACTTAATTAATGCTTGATAAATAAAGTTTATAATAATCTTCTCAGAATCGACGTCTGGATACGTCACTGTTTAAACAGGAATGTGTACAATAAATAGTGGCTTAGCATGGGCCCAGCCATTTCGATGGTAATACCATTATGGGAAAAGGGTATTGGTCTTTTTACTGGGTGCATGATGAAATTAATATTATTATTATTTATTTGGCAAAGACAAATCAAGAAACAGTGAGTTACATGTATGTTAGGAAAAGAAACAGATCAACAAAATTAATTAACCTTCACCAGAAGATCACCAAATAGGGGGATGTTGAAAAGGAAGTTTTATCTTTTTATCCCCTTGCATTTGTCACGCTACGTGCAGGTGTGGTCGATTCTTGTTATTCTCATTTTCTACCCCTCCGCCTTTTTCTCCCCTCCATTCCTCTCTTTATCTGACCCATTTCCTTTCTCACTTTCTCTGAGTCTGTCTGTCTGTCTGTTTTTGGTTTAGCCCAACAGAATATCAATAAATAAAAACATTCACATACTATTTTATCTCGGTGAGCATTTCTTTCGTTAAATATTAGTATTTAATCCCCCATCCCTCTCTCTCTCTCACCCCCCCCCTCTCTCACCTCTCTCTCTCTCTCTCTCTCTCTCTCTCTCTCACTCACTCTCTCTCTCTCACTCTCTCTCTCTCTCTCTCTCTCTCTCTCTCTCTCTCTCTCAAACACGTTTAATATATTAATATATAACTATTTACATATTCGTAAGGAGTGGACTACAACTGTTGAACATGGTGGGTCGTCACTGTGGGTATGTGTGATTTGCGGTTGTGTTAGTGGTGGGTGTGCGTGTGTATAAGTATGAAGCCATATTCATTGATGTCAAATTATAATTTTGTTTATCATACCAATCTGCAGAGAACGCAAGTATGTGACAAACTCATCTTCTTTGGGGCAAGGGAAAATAAAATATTGGTAAAATAATGTCCTTATATAATATTCTCTTAGAAGCTATATACTTGAACCACATGGCGTTCATTTGAAATACTATCAACTTCGGAAATTGTCATCTGGTTTTCTTTAAAACATTTTTTCCACAAGGAAATCTATTTTTTTTAATTTTTTTTATTTGAGCATTGATTGCTATATAGGCCAATAGACGAGTTTACTCACTACCAGTTCCGAGCAAAGGTTGGTATAGGCCTATGTATAATAAACTGTAATGACAAATGCAGACTGGAAAGTGGGAGCTGAAAATATGAACCCTTTATTTGGTATTGAAGAATTCAATAAATAAAATCAACATATAATGATTATGATACATCATATACAAATATAAAGCATATAGACCATAATAATGCTAATTATTGTGGTAATATTCATCTATACTACCATTTCATAATCTTAATACGTACTACAAATACTTTATGAAATTTGGCAAAGACTATTAAAAAAAATCATTGACATCTGTAAACATTTGGGGATATCAGTGTTTTCACATTATTTTACTTTTCTTGTTTGAATGAGCAATGATTCTTTTAATAACTGTAAACAGGATTTAAAATGAGCACAAATAATACTAATGTCAACATTAATGTTGCGTCGTTTTGGGAATTGTTAGTCTATGAATTAAGACGAGTCAGCCTATCTAACAACAACAACAATACTATTAAAAAATGAAAATAATAATAATAGTAGCAGTAACAATAATAATAATAACAATAATTATTATTATCAATTGCTTTAACAATTCTGGCCAATAAAATGCTTCAGTATAGAGATTTTGTGGAATTTTATTAAATCATGTATACAGAAATGCAAATTAACCATGGTAACTCTTTTAACGTTAACATATTCTGGGTACCAGAGATAACAGATACATTCGCACTTACACAATATAGACAACTTCATAGTTTACTAAGTAGAAGTGTCAACCAGACAGACCGTTGTAGATGAAATAAGAGAACTTGTGAACGGCAACTTTACAGAACAAACATGGCAACATGTTTTGACGAAAATCAATCCGTCTCATAAAACCACACATAATTTTTTTGTTGGGCAATGCAAGAGCGAAAACAGTTATTTGTAGAATACATTATGTACAGAAAAATAGCGATTGTCCAACGTTTGTGGATGTTCTCTTTCTAAACTGCTGGATATCAATACAAACAGGCTCGGATCCGTTACTACGCCATGTTATGTTTGGTAGAGATGTCATTTATGTCAAGTTTGTAGGGCCATTTGCGAGGGACTAGCTACCTTCATCGCTACACGGGACGCCAAGGAAAGGACTGTATACTAGACGAACTGAAAAGGAACGTTACAAGTGTCTCAAGGATCAACCTAAATGTACATAGTTTGCGGGAGCTTAGTAGCGGAACTGCTTGCAACCCAGATCATGGAATCCTTTCCTGCACCCGTGGAAGCAGTTTCCGAGCTTGTAGGTTGGGAAGAAAGAATGGCAGAAACTGCAGTCGCTGACGCAAACGCGACGTCGGTCACGGCTGAATGCTTCTCCACCCCTCGTTAATCGGGAAAAGACGTCATCGTTGTCGCCCCCCTGCATCGCGTCCCACATTTCTAACTGTTGTTCATCGATGTCATTGTCGCCTTGGAGTTCGTCGACGTTCTGTTTGTCGTATGTTGGGAGAGCGTAGCTCTGGATGAAAACCAGTAGCGAGCAGAGCAGAAGAAGGTATTGCGATAGCGTGTTCATTGTGGACTGTAGGCTGCAGCGGGAAAACAAAATGAACAGAATGAATGTTAGTATAGTCAGATGGTATTTAGGTTAACTTAGTTAGCTGACAATAACGAAATAAAATGTATAATGTGTACAACAATCTACTACTAAGATCCGACTACCTTAAATCTTTCCGTATTCATTCGTAATCCACTTTTATAGTTCTTCTATTATAGTGCATTCATAAAAATGAAATTCCTGAATGATTCTTTTTTGCAATGATAAAGCAACCTGTGGCGTACCTATCTATTGCCAACAAATGATGACGGTTAAGTGAATTAGAAGAATATTAACGAGGGAAAAGGACATTATGACATATATTATCCTTCTATAACCCCGCTCGATTGCTTTGCTCCCTCCATTTTAAAGTTCTAGTTCAACCGTTAGGCACGTGTCGTACAATGTGCTGACGAACCTTGAGTATGATTACGCTCCGCCACTTCCTGTTAACTACATGTATAATCTATGCAATATATTGCTGTTGGTTGTATCTTTGGCGTTCAGTCAAATTTGACTAGTTCCACCTTATCTGGTTCTACCTTATCTGGTTCTTCAATCAAATCAGTCGATTTAGGCCTTATCTGCATGTAAGCCAATAATTTGAGAGCGTCTACCGCTGCCTCATTCCTTTATAATTGTTTTCGGTTCTTAATTCCGCTACCCCAGTTAATATGACTGTTTCTGTTACAGTCCATTACATTTCAACATATGGGCCTTAATCATTAATCATTTTTTCACTGTTTTGTGTTTCCTGCTTATGATAATTCCTCTCAACAGCTTATTTACTTGTCACTTCGCTACAATAAAACTTTTGTGAGGATTCGATGAAATAGTTCGCGTGTCACCCTCCAGCGTCTACTTTAAAAAAAATTATGGTAATAAGTGATGATTTCAATATTATACCATTCTAAATACTACGTTTTTATTTGATGTGTACTCTGAATATAATAATTTTTTGTGGTGATGATTTTGAAATGATTTAGATTGAATGATATTGCTACTTGACTATCGATTCTGTTGTAACAAAATGGTTTAAGAGAGATGCTTTATTCAATGGGTTAATATAATAAATGTAAGGGAAGAAATGAAAGCCATAGTTTAAATTTCACCGTTTATTACCGAATGGATGGGACGGGTTGTACCTTGGGTGCAAGTGTTAATAACTTTCCCCTGCAATGGGGTTGTGAGGAGGGAGTATTCCGGCTAAGCCCTATGCCGACAAAGGAGAAACCTCGAAAACTTTGAAAAACCTGGGCCTCGTTGCATAAAATTTAGCATTGACGGTATCTTTGCAATTCATGGTAACTTCCATGGAAACCTTGTTTTGATTCATTGTTGAGTGACGTCGCCATGGTAGTTACCATCAGTGGTAAGTTTTAAGCCAGGGGCCCAGGTTGTTCCAATTTGTCAAGGTTTCTCCTACATGAGATTAAAATGGATGATATTCACGGAAAGGGGAAAACATCACGTACTTTTTGAAATTCAATCTGTAGAAGATCAACTAGTTTTACTTGCATTACGCTTGCCTAACACATAGACAATGTATAGTCTTTATAAATACATTTTTCAAAACAGTCAATGTGCTAAAGGGTGTTTGATTTGTTTCAAAATATTTCACTTTCTTTCTTTTTATAATCATCTTCATTTGTAATAGCGGGCAGATATATTTTTTATTACGGGAAAGATATCCCAAAGTGCATTAAAGTGATTAGATTTAAGATGAATGATGTATATAACGTCAAGATAGACGGAAACAGAAAGGTAGAAACTAAAAAAGTATTCAATCAATCTCGGCAAAAAGCCAGTTTCATTGTCAGTCATGCACTAAAAGGGCGAATTTAAATCATTTAATACCTTTACCACATCTTATTCATATTTGAGGAATAGATTGCCATTTCCAATATCGGTGTCTGGTTACAACCGTGCCCTTTTGTTAATGCTCCTCATGGTCGTTTATAAAGTGAGAATAGGTTGGGTAGTATATCAGTGTATTATCGGAGAGAAAGCGGCCAACCTGCCCCGGGTATTCTATTGAGTTAGACAGCTTGGTATACCATGTCATAATCGGTCTAATGACTAATGTACATATCATCCAATGAACCTTTTGACATGCGATCCCAAAGATCATCAGCATAGAGCAAATCTCTACAAATGCATCCATCTCTGACAAAGTAAATGGGTTATTGTACCCCTCATATCACACGTTATGAATCGATAATTACCATCAATCATTTTGATGGTCAGTTTTTGTGCCTCCATGAGCCATCTTTTCTAGAGCGCATGACGGTTACTTAATCATTACAAAAGCTGGATTTGTGATGTAATATATTAAATCGAACCGTCTTTTCATCTTTTAGCCGTATTGTGATGATAATAAGCGAAGGCGTGATGGACGTGCGTTCGCCGACATGATATTTTTTCATTTTGTTGTATCTCATGGACTTTCTTTCGCGAGCACGCGCCGACGTCTCTTCGCCACAGCCTCCTAGCCGTGCTAAATAGAGTAACATGACACGGCCTATTCATAATGGAATCCATTGGTGGGGTGGAGGGATGAAAAAGAGAATGGATGGCCATGGCTCAACTGCGGACTGTCTCATCAAATGGCATTTCATCCACACACGTAGACCATCTTCAGACTTTATCACCTTTTCCACAAAAGACGAAGCAGAAAAAAAAAACCACACCACGAAATGAGAGCCATACATCGTCTCTTCATTCACGTATCGAATCGTGATTTTTCTAATGTAATTTACCAGGTTGATGCCTTCAGTCATGGAAGAAATAATGAGAAGAAAGGTTCTTTCGAGAAAATGACTAGCTGTAGTGATATGTCCTTCATACTTGTCGTTGCGAGTAGACTAGCGCTGCGCCGATTAACCTTCAGCATTTTGTCTCAAATACAGAAAATAATAGCTCTGTCTCAAGTAATACGTGTTGTACCAATAGACCCACACCGAAACTGCCTTGTATATCAAACAAGAACTATGACTTAAATGGCGCCAGAGTAAACCACCAGGTATTGAAATCAGTTGCAAGGTTACATTTGAAATAACAATCACACTTTCTCTGGTAAAAAGCTTAATGTCATACTTCTAATTTTAGGGCGCTTATGTCGATTTAAATATTCGTTTTCATGATGCAAGCTCACAGTGATTGCACCATTGGTACCCATATCATTTATCATTATTATAAGGTTACGTTATCATAATATCTATAATAACTGACACATCAACAGGAAGGATCCTTCGAGGTATAACCTATAGAAGGGAAGAGAACTATATCATAAGCTGTCATGTTGCGGGGGAGTAAATAAATTGATATGACCGGAATGGTAAAAAGGTCTCCTCATCCCTCTCTCACCCCCTCCCTCAAGAGTTGGAAGTTTTTTAGGATGATTGATGATAAGTCTGAAGGAAAGACATCATTCTGGTGGACAGTCAATGTTCTTGCATACTGTCAATGTTCTTGCATACATTCAATGTTCTTCCATACTGTCAATGTTCTTTCATACTGCCAATGTTCTTGCATACTGTCTTGATAGCACGAACGGATCCAAACTGCCAAGAAGCAGCAACTTAACCTACTTTGGCGATGACTTCGAGCCAGGCAGTGGATCGTTCAAAGTGTGAAAGTGAACACATTTTCTACGTATCAATGAAAGTAAAATGTCAAACACACATCTCTTGGAGAGAGAAAATTAAACATTGCTACTTTTATTATGCATTGAGCAGTCCAGTATTAAAGTGAGGAATAGCAAATCATAATTCTGGTCCGTCAGTTTAATGATTCTATCCGTGTAATCAACATAACAAGTTCAATATCAATCTTATGAAATCAGTATCACTTTTTGTAGTCTGTATCCATGATTTTTTTTAAAATTGCTTTGTTAAGGAGTTTAATGTCCTTGAAACAAAGTAATTTTTTTTCACTTTGATTTTGAAAAAGCAACATTATTTGAGGAAATTGTTTACATTACGCTTATTCCTTCGAAAAAGATATGAGCCATGAAGTTGCCCGATTGTGGAGGGAGTGGGTTTGGGGTAAAATCTCCTGGGGATAGAAGAGAAGAATCATTTGCCAGTCAAAAACAAAATCGGAAACCAAGGTTTTTCGCCAAGGATAAACAAGTACAAACATTTACACATTTGTCAACCCCCTCCTTCCGAAAGCAATTGGATTAGATGACATCCCCATTCCCAAACGACATCTCTTGACACGACTTTTCGCTCAGTACATTGTTTGATTATTATAGAGGAAATGAGTTATAGCTTCAGTCATGTGTTAAACCCACATCGTCAGAGTCAGAAGGGATTTATCACTTCACCTACTTCTCGGCTTTCTTTTCCCTCTATCCCTTTCATCCCAGTTTCTTTCTTTCATTCTTTTTTAATTAGCCAATGCCCTCCCCAATGCTACAGTGATACAATATTGACTGTAAGAGCACTTTGTGATCTTCCATTGGGGGTTGGTAAAGTTCAGGGTAAGAGAGCTCCTTGTCATCTCTTGCGATTGTTTAACTTCTACAATTTACATCCATGCGTCAACAGCAGCAAACTGTTTACAGACTTTGAACACATTTCTATGTTGTAGCTATATTGTTCAGAATGTTGATAAACATTACTCCCAACATCATTATCCCGTCCAAACCATGACCTCTCCCACGAGGCGCCCCAGACAACCCCACTTCCAATCAAGGATGTCAAGACCATCGTACACAGTCATCTGCGTCTCCACATTTGTCCTTTTTTCGTGTAAATCTCATCTTAGCAATTTCGTGCATGACCCTCTTTCCATGTACCATCTTCACCTCGACAGCAACAATATTGACCTCGGCAGAATCCCATGTGCCAGCGTGCGTAACGCGGTTCAACGTCATCAGCTTGACTAAACCACACCGTTTCTATCTCGGCCCGCCGCTGGGAGCCGAATATCTCCACGGAACTAATGACATATCGGTCTGAAACTGGGATTGGTTGATTTCTATTG